AACATTGCACTTTGCTTTCTGGATCTTCTTGACCATGTTCAACAGATATGTCCGCTCCTCCTTGAGGATCTTGTCCATCTGCCTGTAGTCGTTGACAACAATCTGGTTTTCCATGTCTGGCTTTGGGGGGCTCAGCTGGAACTGGATGAGACCTATCCGTGCCTTTTCCTTGAGTGTGGGGCCGCCGGCGCTCTTGACCACTGGCTGGTTGAGAACTAGCCCGTCAATCATCTCACTGTCCTCAATGGTACCGCCCGACTTCTTGATCATGCGGATGTTCTTCAGGTCTACGTTGTCGGCGGTCTTGGGGTCGATGACCTTGAGCACAGAGTCGACGGCCATGATGGGCAGCTTTGGCTCTTGAGCGACAATCTTGGAGGAGAGGGAAGTGGTAGCGGTCTTGAGGAGAGTCTGCCTGTCTGTAAGAGAAATGGGAATGGCCATTTCAGTCAAGATAGATATGGCCTCCTGGGCGGCGCGCTGAAAGGCCTCGGATATGACTGTGGGGTGGATGCCCTTTGCCAATAACCGCTCAGCAGCTCCGAGAAGACTACCAGCAATAACCACGACTGATGTTGTACCATCTCCAGCCTCGATATCTTGGGCGTGTGCGAGGTCGACGAGCATCTTGGCCGACGGGTGCATGACGCTCATTTGGTTCAACATGGTGGCTCCGTCGTTTGTGATGATTGTCTGGCCTTTGCTGGTTTGAATCTGTAGCGAGTTAGCCATTGACTTGTCTAAAGACTGTATATATCCAATTACCATCTTGTCCATTCCCTTTGGTCCCAGAGACTGCCAAAATATCAGTATTTGTCTTGTTCCCCGCACCCTGTGGTGGGACATACAGTTCGGATCGCATCTGCCACAGCTACACATTTTGGGTCAGCTTAGGGGTTTGAACACATGGGCGAAATATGTATACCTCTTGCTGCAATAATGTTGGCACTGCGGACCGCCCTAGGCTTTTCTTTATCCTGTACTTGTCATCAGTCAATGTTTTCAGAGCTCATGGTGTAGGCAGCCATACCTTGAAGGCAGCATTTCCGCCACCGCCTCCGCCACTTGCAACTTGAGCAGCCATGTTTGGGGAATCTCGAGAAAACAAAGACAAAGGAGGGGTATCGTGGTGGGTTGGCGGGGAAGTTTTGGGTGCCGGGGACGCGAACCTGACAAGATTTCGAGAACGCGATAGACGTAGCGCACTGACAGCGACAAGCTCCGACTCGCCGGGCCCATCGCCGCATCAACCACAGCTACCACCTTCACTGCATAGCACAACACCCACGCCCGTACACGATCTCCACCACAAACACATCTCGTCCGACTGTCGCTCTCTTCATCCGGGACTCGTCAGACTATCTCTATCCATACACTCGCACACCCACATAGTCTCATCAACACACCGGCCGCCCGACAGTCGCCGCCAACACCGCAGCCATGCCTTCAGCCACAGGCCAGTCCTGGGAGAAGTACCAGAAGAACTTTGCCGACGACGAGGTTGAGGAGAAGAAGATCACGCCTCTCACTGATGAGTAAGCTTGGCCGGTGTTATTTCCCCGGCATAAACGCTGACGCAATGGCAGGGACATCCAGGTGTTGAAGACATACGGGGCCGCACCCTATGGCGCGGAGCTGAAGAAGCTGGAGAAGGAGATCAAGGACAAGCAGCAAACGATAAACGAGAAGATTGGAGTCAAGGTAGTCTAGCCCACCATTGCCCTTGGCCTCCCCCGCTCACATCCCTCTAGGAATCAGATACCGGTCTCGCACCTCCACATCTATGGGATATTGCTGCCGACCGCCAACGTATGCAAGAAGAGCAGCCCCTCCAAGTCGCCCGATGCACCAAGATAATACAGGACGAGAAAGACTCGGAAAAGAGCAAATATGTCATCAACGTCAAGCAAATCGCAAAGTTCGTCGTCAACTTGGGAGAGCGTGTCTCACCCACGGACATTGAAGAGGGCATGCGAGTGGGCGTCGACCGTAACAAGTACCAGATCCTGCTCCCTCTACCGCCCAAGATCGACCCTTCGGTTACCATGATGACAGTCGAGGACAAGCCTGACGTCACATACGGAGATGTGGGAGGATGCAAGGAGCAGATTGAGAAGCTGCGAGAAGTCGTCGAGATGCCGCTGTTATCACCAGAGCGCTTCGTCAACCTCGGAATCGACCCTCCAAAGGGTGCTCTACTCTACGGCCCACCAGGAACCGGAAAGACGCTTTGCGCGCGAGCAGTCGCCAACCGAACCGACGCCACCTTCATCCGTGTCATTGGTTCCGAGCTTGTCCAGAAGTATGTCGGAGAAGGTGCCAGGATGGTGCGTGAGCTGTTCGAGATGGCGCGAACAAAGAAGGCGTGTATCATCTTCTTTGATGAAATCGATGCTGTCGGTGGAGCGCGTTTCGACGACGGTGCTGGAGGTGACAACGAAGTACAACGTACCATGTTGGAGCTCATCACACAACTCGACGGTTTCGACGCTCGCGGTAACATCAAGGTCATGTTCGCCACAAACAGACCTTCCACTCTAGACCCTGCCCTCATGCGTCCCGGACGTATTGACCGAAAGATTGAGTTCTCGCTACCAGACATGGAGGGTCGTGCCAACATTCTCCGCATCCACGCCAAGAGCATGAGCGTCGAGCGCGATATTCGTTGGGAGCTTATTTCCCGTCTCTGCCCCAACAGCACAGGTGCCGAGTTGAGGAGTGTAGCGACAGAGGCCGGCATGTTTGCCATTCGTGCGAGGAGAAAGGTTGCGACTGAGAAGGACTTTTTGGCTGCCGTTGACAAGGTCATCAAGGGCAACCTCAAGTTCAACTCGACTGCCACGTACATGCAGTACAACTAAGGGATGTTGTTCATCCCGTCACAGGTGGCTCTCCACTTGTAGGTTGAGAGCTAGGACTGGCGCTGTACGAGTAGTCACGAAGGCGCTTTGCCGCCACTTAGATGATAGAGTTGTAATGCATCTTTCCGAATCATGACTGGCCATTCTCTTTCATCTTTGATTTGTTATTACTCACAGAGTGAATTGAATGCCAAACACCAGTGTTCCTCAACATATTCATGTCACATTATCACATTAATCATCAGCATTACAAGTAGCAAATACCTACTCCACCACCACCGTCTCTCCAATATCACACAACCCAATCTCCACCCCCCACTCCAACCCCTCCGCCTCTGCACATTTCCGCCAGCGCTTCGGCGGCTCGGTAACCGGCTCGTAATTGACCGAAAACCCACCTCTAAACGTGCCAAAATGCATGCCAACACTCTTCTTACTCCTCACATCCCTATGTATCGCAAGCGAATCCTCTGGACTAGAATGCTGGCCCGACAGCAGCGCGCGCGGCATGAAGCAACCGACGGGTAATAAAGCGAGATCAAAAGGACCGTACAGGTTGCCTATGTCTTTGAAAGCGGGACAAGGGGGATGCGGGGCTTCGTGGTGCGAGTACTGGTCGTCAGAGCTGACGTGGCAGTATCCCGTGTCGCCTGCGAAGAAGAGGGACTTGGGTGCTGTTGCTGGCGAGGAGGAGGAGGAGGAGGAGGAGGAGGAAGAAGAAGAAGAAGAAGAAGAAGAAGAAGAAGAAGAAGACTCGCGGATTACCCAGCTACACCAGAGTGTAGCGTCGAAATTCCAGGGTGCGCGGCCAGAGCGGTGTTGGGCGGGTGTGCAGATTATATCTACGCTTCCGACGCCTGGTGTTGAGAGTGTTACGGCGTCCCACCAGTCTAACTCTGTGACTTGCGATGCGGTGATGCCGGCACTGAGGCCTGTGATTACGGATTTGACGTTTAGACCGCAGAAGATGCGCAGGTCTCCGTTTTGCTTTGTGTTGAGCTTGCGCAGTGTCTCGGAGTCGAGGTGGTCGTAGTGGTCGTGGCTTATGCATACGGCGTCGATGTGTGGGAGGTCATCGATGGAGCAGGGTGGTGGTGTGAAGCGTACAGGCCCAACCATGCCGTAAGGTCCTACGCGCTCGCTCCAGACGGGGTCGATGAGGAGGCGCATGCCTCGTTCACTAGAGTCTGAGCGAGTTGTTTCGAGTAGGAAACTTGCGTGGCCGATCCATGTGGCTTTGAGCCCGTTGCGGGTGGTGTTGAAGTCGGGCTTGCGGACTTGGACGAGGCCGGCGCGGTCGCTTGGGACGGGGACGAAGTTTTTGGGTGTTGTGAAGCGGGTGCGTACGGCGGTGGCTATGCCGCTGTTTTTGTACGAGGGCCATGGGTTTTTAAAGGACGTTGGTGGATTGCCGATGTGATGGGCGGTTGTGTATGCGTCTGGTGTACGCGGCGCGAGTGCTGTTATGGTGGACGTAGGAGACATTTCTGGTATTCTACTGTACCCAAGGAAGCGCTTGAGCACACTGGAAACTGTGAATAGCCGCGCATGTTTGCGACGCTGCAAGTGATGATGTTATAGCAAATGTATGACGGAGCTGCGCAACGCAGATAGTCCATCGGAGAGAAAGTTGTCCCGCCGAACAACGCAGCCAGACTGCACCAGATCAAAGAGCTTCCAACCAACCACGCTACAAACCAATGACTTCATGCTCGGTTCAATTCGCAATGGCCGTCTTTACACCTACGTTCTCAAGCATGTCTAGCCCCGGAGCTGCGAACGCGTCGAGACAAGCATTCCTACGGTGGCTTGGGGGCGTGCTTCTCTTATCGTCCAATGGCGCGCACACGTGAGCCCGTCTAGCTTACACGCAGGTACCTCGCCTTATCCACCTTTCGCCCATGGCCGACGCCCGGCCTTCGTACCTTGCAACTGCGGGAATATTTACCTTCTACAACAGGTAAAGACTGATTTTTTCCTAACCTGGAGCGGCAGCGGGCAATGCATTACATACGTACTAGTAAGGGCTGTGGCCAAATTTTTTCAAAGAATATAATAAGTGCCGTCTTTCCACCCTCAAGTTATATTTCATTGATTGTGATTAAGCATTTCCCTTCATTCCCAACCCCCATAATCAAAATGAAGGACCACAATCTCCCCCGGGCCCTCGCCCTCGCTCTCCTCACCACATGCTCCACCGCCCAACTCTACCCCCTCCAATCCCCCCTCAACCACACCTGCCAACTCCAAGAACCCCTGCTATCCTGCCCGTCCCAAGACGCCTCATGCGTAGACTCGTGCTGCACCGAAACCTTCGGCGGCCTCCTCCTCAGCACACAATTCTGGAACACCTACACCGGTCTCGAATCCTCAGGCCAGTACCTCCCCAAGGACACCTGGACGCTCCACGGTCTCTGGCCCGACTTCTGCAACGGAAGCTACACCCAATACTGCGACTTGACCCGCCAATATGACCCCATTCCCTCCCCAAACACAACAAATGGCCTCCCCAACGGCACCGCCGTGCCCGCCTACACCGGCCCAAATATCGATACCTTCCTCGAGCCCTTTGGCAAATACGACCTCCTAGACTACATGTCGACCTACTGGGTGGCGTGGCAACAAGACAACGCGGGTTTCCACGCCCACGAATTCTCAAAACACGCTACTTGCTTTTCTACCTTCAACGTGCCGTGCTACGGTCCGCTGTACCGCCAGCACGAAGACGTCGTCGATTTTTTCGAGACGGCGGTAAAGTATTATAAGCGGTTTCCTACGTTTGAGTGGCTGCACGAGGCGGGTATTACGCCGTCGAATGCGTCGGTTAGGTATTCGTATGGGGAGATTGTGCATGTGTTGGCGGAGAGGCATGGTGGTGTCCCGTTTTTGGGGTGCTCGGGTCCGAGGTTCAATGAGACGGTTGCGGGGAGGAATAGTACGGATAGGGGGTTTACCGTGTTGAATGAGGTGTGGTATTATGAGCATGTGAGTATTTTTCTCGAGTATTTTTTTTTGTCTAGGTGGAAGATAGTGGTTTTGCTAACGAGGATTTTGTTGTAGGTCTACGGTCGCCCTCAGGAAGGAAACACGATTCCTGTTAATGCGTCGGCGAGTTACCTGACCAACTGTGCGAAAACAAAGGGCGCCATTTTCTACCCGGAGCGAACGAATGGTTCGGAAAAGGTTCCTGCGGTTCCGTACTAAAAGCAAGTGTACTAGTGGTTGTGTAGCATCTTTCTTGTACATTTATAGCATGTGAATAATAGATGCAGATAAAAAAACAAACAGTAACGTAAATATGCAAATAACAGCAACATCAGAACAAAAAAATATAACTTCATAAGTAATCTATACAGGTAACATTTACTATTCTAGAAAAGATTAACCTATTAAGCTTGTACATGTATACAGTCATCGTCATTTGCCGCTGAGCTCTCCACTGCCTGGTTTTCTGACCCAGCTCTCGAGCCAGTGGTAGTGGCATTTTCATCTTCTGCTTGTTTTATTGCAATCTCTCCATGTGCTTTGGCGTGCTCACCAGATCGCTCGGGAGCCTGCATTTCATCCTCATCCTCGCCTTCCTCTTCGTGTCCTTCTTCGTATTCCTCGTACTCCTCTTCATGCTCCTCGTCCTCATCAGCAGCATGACTGTCAGCCCTATCCATATCTACATCTTTTCTCTCTGGGCTTTGTTTTTGCCTGGGACTTGCATCATGTCCACCTTGCTCCTTCTTAACGGACTTGTCCGCCTTGGCTGCAGAACGGTGACCATGTGACCGCGTATGAACAGTGTGGTCGCATTCCTCTGAAAACACTTGACTAGCATAGTCATGTTGCTTCCGGGATGCGTCCAAACCTTCCGGGAAGATCTTGCCCATGATCGCCTTGTGCTTATCGGTCGCGTTCGGGTGAGCTGCAAGCCCGGTAGGGCTGGGTGTGTCAGCCGCACTGACCGGGGCCGCGTATTGGATGCTTGCGGGCGTAGGAGAGTGGCTAGATTCATTTTCCTTGCGGGCATGCACCTTACGCAGATTGGCGGCTGACGATTGCGAACGCATATCAGGACGGCCATCCTTTCGAATAAGCACACCATCCGCGTTGCGCACCGGCTTTGTACGAGTCCTCTTTGCAGAGCCGTACGCCTCACCTGGAGGCCCAAAGCTGATGCCAGCCGTCACCCCTTGTAGGCCGAGACTTGAAGTGCGATCATTTGTCATGTAGCCTCCGCGTGCGCCACCACTGCCACCACTGCCACGGCGCGCTATGCTACCGCGACCGGATCGTGCCATGTGGGCGTGGAAGTCTTCTGGACTACCTTGTGAGCTGCGAAGGCTCTGCCAGTCATCCGCTTCCCATTCTGGTGTTGCAAAGGTGCCATGAGGCTGGACAAGCATGCTCTTTCGAACTCTACCGCCCCGACTGCCGGGTCCTCCGCCGCCACGCCCACGCCCACGGGGTCGATATCCCATCATACGTTGGGAATCGGCCCGCCAGCTGTCGTCTGACGGCGCATACTGCGGGGTATATGGAGAATAGGAAGGTTGCTGCTGCGGTTGAGACGAGGGAACCTGGTCAGCTACAGGATTTTGAGATGTAATGGCATGTGCAGGCGTTGGAAATCGAGCGTCTGTCGGTTCGACTGCGGCACGACTAGGTGGTGGTTGCGCGGCAGTGTAGCCAGGGAATGGCTCAGCTTCGCCCAGTTTTGGTCGCTTTGGGGAACTTGGCCCATGCATGGTGCTCTCCTGGGGGCTGTCCATGCCGCTTTGGGAACTTCGTTTCACTCCAGCGTTGACAGTCGCCCATCCGCTGCTCTGACTAGGCACAAGCTCACTTCTCGGTGTGGCTTCCACTACAGGCTTGGGTGCTGGCTGTGCAAACGATGGCTGGTGGTGCTGACCACCTGAGGCACGGCGAGATGCATCGCTGGCTTGTGGAATCGTTGGGGTGCTGGGGTGAGATGACACCGCCGCATGCGTCGATGGGATAGGTGCAACTGCCGTCTCACGTGGAAGTTGGAATGTGTGTGATGGCGGCTGAGATGACGCAGCCTTGGCACTTTCTTCGAGTCGGTAGATTTTGTTCTTCATGATCTCAATGTGGAGCTTTAGATTGTCGAGATCGCTTGTCTTGTGGGACATGACGGCGATTTGTTGTGTCATGAGTTCGAGTGCCGAGTCTTGAGCGGCCATCTGGTGGCTTGGGGAAAAGACGGATTTGCGTGATTGCTTGTCAATTCTCCAAGCCTCCATCTCTCGGCTGATGGCTTCCATTGCATGGCGCATGCCTTGCATTTCGTGTTGTAGTCGTGCTGCAGACTCTTCCACCTTTTGGATGTCGGCCGTCTGTCGGAACAACTGGGCCTGAAACTCACGACGAAGGGATTCCTCGACTTGTTGAAAGGTCTCTTCGCCACGACGTATATCTCGAGTGTGAGCAGCCAGGGCGCCGCTATTTTGAGAAATTTGTGTTTGTAAACGCTCAATAGCGTCCATGCCCACCATGCCAGGTGAGCGAGGGTACTGGTGACCATTTGTCTGTGATGTTTCGGGGGCAGGCTGTGGTTTAGACACACTACCCCGAGACTCACGCACATTACCAGTGGGGTGTGTGGCGGATACTTGTTGCGGGGAATCAGCCTGGTGTATTGGCTCCGCTGCGGGGGATGAAATTGATGGTCTTTTGCTTGGTGCTGGTTGAACAGCACTGAGCAAGGAATTGGTCACTGGAGGAGAATGTATCGATGACGATAATTGTTTTCGTGACTGTCTATCGTGATCAATGGGATACATGAGATGTTGCTTTGCGGCATCGCGATCGAGATCGTGACGTATGCCCATTTGAGTATGAGAATACGCCGATTGGTGCAACGACGGCATGCGTGTGTCAACCTCCATGGCTTTGGTCCACGATGGGTTGGGAATGTTGTTTGGTGGAGAAGAAGATGAAGATGATGATGAAGGAGGAGGACTAGGCGTCTCCTCAGCAGCTAATAGGTCTGGTGCAATGTCTTCACGCGGTTCGATGACAATGATCTGCCCTGGAGCTATCTCACATTGCAGCTCAATGCGGCTTAGGTTAAAGAGATCGCGGCCACTACGCGAAATGAGATGTTAGCCGTCTGAGGTAAGTCAAAGTAATAAGCTTTATGTGTATTTGAATGGATAATCTCATCAAGGCCTCAATCGACAGCAAGATGCAAACAAACTCAGTGAGCGATGATGCAAGGGAGGTGACTCACCGAAATTTCCCTTTACCGGCAGGCGCAGTGATGACAGTGCAACCAATTGATGTCTCGCCGCAGCCAGGGTGTGGGCAGGACAAAGGCTGGATGGTGCTGGCAAGGTGTCAGCTAATAGGCAGACAAAAGTGCGACGTGAACGGAACGGCAGTAATGCGGAACGTGAGAGACAGGTAGCGGGCTGGCGGGTTTAATAGATGAAAAAGCGTATAGTGTGGAAATTGTTTGGACCGCACTAGCGCAAGTGTGCTTAGGAAAGAGAAGAAAAAATTAAAATACCATGTCACTGAACTATACCAGGAGGCGACAACGTATAATCGAAGGGCGCCTGATGATGTGATGGCTGACTGCTACCAAAAGGGGAAAAGGTGCGAAGGGAGAAGAGACATGCGAGGGCTAATAAGCTTACCATCCATTGAGAGCCGTGCCCTTGAGTGCAGGCTCGGGGGAGCCAGCAGTCTTGAGGCGCGATGAGTAGGAGCCGAGCAGGGCAGGAACATGAAGAGTGCCAGTGATTCGACTCCACGAGTTGTAAAAGTCGCCTACGTGGGTGCGGCAGTGCCGGCAGTAGCCCTTTGTCGATCGAGCGATGATGGGGAGCGAAGCAGGTGGTGGCGGGGGTCTAGCAGCACTTTGGGCAAAGGGCGGTGCCGACTGCTGAACTCTAAACTGGTCGGCATTTCCATGCACAATGGATGCAGTGTGAGACGCAGAGCGGTGATGTTGTTGGGTGCTCATGCTGTCTGGAGTAGTCTCACTAATACGAAACTGTCTTGTGCTTGCCGTAGCCAGCCCATTGAGACGGACCGAAAGGATAGATCTCCGAGCCACAGTATAGGCAAGGCGACGAGGATCTTGCGCTTGTTGCTCGCCAACTGCAGGTAAGCGGAGTAATACACTGTGGGAGCCAGGAATGCTCTATAGTGATTACCAAAGGCGGGCAAGGGGATGGTCAAGCACAAGCGTCGAGGGGTGGTGGTGCTGTGAGCGCCAATTGCGCAGTGCGGGCAGAGGTGGTGGTGGGTGTGGGTGACACTGCAGGAGGGTGTGTGAGTGTGAGTGAAAGAAGAATCAATGGATGGACAGGACAGGACAGGCGGGATGGAAGGGTGGGATCAAGTGTTGAATGAATGTGGGAAAGCAACGAGTGGGATTGGAGGCGGCGGCAAGGGCCAGGAAAAGGCAAAGAAGGGGAGCGCGCGTATACCGTGCGGCCAGGGTGGAAAAGCAAAGTTAGGGAGAGATTTAGGACAGGTGAAATAATTAGCACAGGCTTATTCATTATTGGCTGGCCGCGAGTCCCGGTGGGGCCTAGCGCGCCTCGTTATTTAGAGGTGCTCTATCAGCTATTACGAATAAGCCTTTGAGCCGTGTGGTGTCGCAAGCTCGACGCGCTAGCTGTTGCGCATTGTGCATCAGCCCTTCAGGCCCTCACCGGGCCATGCTCCTTTTGACGTCTGTCGTTTATGCGGGTGGGCCATGTACGGTAAGATGCGACGCTGCCTGCGGTTAGTCACATTATCTATGGTATGGACTTAGATATACTGGGAAGCCCATATATACGTATACAGATGCCTACACATACACTACCCATCACAACAACGCCCAATTAATCGCCACGGACACCCATCCTGTCCTTGTATACATATACATACATATACATACATACATACATACATACATACATACATACATACATACATACACGTTACATACCTAGGACATCCATGTTCCCGGTAGATAAACTTACTTGATACTCGATATACGTAAGTATGCACGCATATACATATACTACACACAATCGAGAGTAAGCAAAAGCGGCTCGTGACGACAATCATCATTCATCGCTTTTTGCCACAATTGGCCAGTGTTGGACAGGCCTCCAAGGTTTCATGGTTGTCATGGCCCAATAAGCATGGCACATGGCAAGACGGGCTGATAAGACCAGCGCGCACGGAGGCTTTTGAATATATTTTACATTTCATTCCCATATATACATATACATTGCAACTATAAACTCTGTCTTTTCCTTCTCGTATGTACCACTATTATTATATAGCGTTGGTGCCTCTTTGTCTCTGATATAGCAGGCCCAGATTACCTTTGCCCCCAATAGGCAAGCCCTTTGGACCTGGCGCCAGCTCGTTACGAGCTGGGCACTATGATACTGCTATATGGCGGCAAGATAGCAGCTTGGCTAGCGTGCCCAACTCGCAGATCCCCATGGCTGCTAGGCTACTACCAATCCAGCCCTTCATGTAGTCATCCGCTTTGCAAAAAATTTGATTTTACTTTCTGGATCCGACACTACGGGGCCTAAGGCAATGCGCTAACATAGTCTTAGCCAAACATGATATGAGCAGGGTTCTTGATTGTCGTCCGTGCAATTGACATGCCAACTGGCCCAGTAATATCTACTTGGACACACTGAAACGGCAATTAGACGATTTTATCCCCGGCTGCATTCAACCGATCGTTGCATCCCGCAATGCATACCAACGTTTCCGGTACCCCTCGGCATCCGGTCTTTTCCATACACTTTTTGCTCAATTACCCGTCATTACCTGTCGGACCCAACTGCCTGTTTGCTCAAACACGCCGACATTCTGCGTGTCACAAAAATGCTCTAGCGTTGGCTCCCACCCCCCGTGGCCAAACACAAAACGAGACGCACCACACATTGCTCTCTCGTAATAATAGCCTATGTAGTACGTACTCTACTTGACCACCATGAACCCGACACCATTGCGTGCATCCTGGCATGCTTTGGACAGCGCCTGCACCTCCGTGTCTGTCCATTGCACGCTGAGATTGTCCCATTTCTTCGTTGCAAACTCACGCCGGTACTGCTGGTTCATGGCTTGCAGCCGTCGAATGTCTCGAGGGTCGCCCGTCCCACTGTACACAATAAAGGCCGTGCAGCGTGGCAGGGACTGGTAAACCTGGCTGATCCGCTCAACCGTTCTCGAAACAGCGTCGCCAAGCTCAGCGCCTTGTAGCTCCACATCCACATCATCATCGCCTTGTCGACTCAAGCCCATTCGCTCAAGCGCCGTCTTTCGAATCACCTCAACATCTGCTGACTTGGCATCATCCCACCATCCTCGTGCAAGCTCAAGTTCCCGCAGACGGCCCCAGACAAAATCAATCTGGTCGGCAGTCCCATCTCTGCCTTCGGCTTGGCCCTTGAGGGTTCGATCAATTGCTTCCACCACTTCATCGTCCGTTTTGCATCCTATCGAAACTTTAGCTTGACCACCGTGGCCTCTGTTTGGGTCACCCCAGTCGATGACCGCTCCCGCTCGACGGGCCTCGTTTGACTTTGGTCGCATGCTCCGTCCTAGTCTTTTGAAAATCGACTCGGCATTCGTGTCACTCGAGCCCCACCTCGGGCCCTTTTCACATTTCTGCTTGACCAGATCGAGGCATGTTCGAGCGTCTTCTACACTGTCGTGACCCTGTGACCCTTTCTGCACCTCGCGCTTGAGATACTTTTGCGCAAGCCATTTCAGCGACTGCTTATACGGCGGGCCGCGCGGATGTGGATAGAGAATACCCGTGTCGACGATAAAGGGATGAGTCAGCTTTAGTGCATTGAGATCAGAGTTTAGCGAATGTCCCACAAGGATTGTGCGCGGCGTGATGAGCTCCAGTAGCTCCTTTTGTATGTCGGCGAGTGTCGTTGTGACATCCTGAAGCATGGCCGCTGTGATACCCGACCACTGTGTTAGATGGTCCTTGATACCAATCTCGGGCTTGACAAGCTTATCCAAGACTACCTTGCCGTCCCAATCCATTAGACTGATGCGCGTAAGCACAAGCTCATCGTTCTCAGCTTTACACATTTCACAGTCCATGGAGAGGATCTGTCTCCCAGCACTCAAACTGCCTTGCTCTATCTCTTCTTCGGGTACTTGTCCTTCGTCCACATCTGCCACATGGCTATCCACCCAGCCGTCATCTGCAGTCTGCTTGGCGAGTTTCCTCCTCTCATGGTTAGCCTCCTTGGATTCGGGCGTCGTGAACATGGCTGGATGCAGTACATATTCGTTCTCCTGCTGCTCCATGAGCGTGGCGATATACTCGGTGATGCGTGTGCGTCTGTTCTGCCAATGGCTTGAGTTCTGTGGCATGGGACCCTTGTGGTTGCCAGTCCGCTTCATTTGCTTTTCTTCCTGTGTCTTTGGAATCTGCGAGGTGAGCATGGTATGGATGGGCGAATGGAGGCGCATGTACTGGTTGTTGCGGTGTTCTCCAATGGCTTTGATGGGCCACACATGCTCGAAAATGTCGGATAGAGGTTGCAGCGGTACAGGCAGGCGTTCAGGCTTCAGACTGGCTGGGTAGAAGTCGCTAGACGAGATGGACAGCCGCTTTGGCTGAGACTCGGTGGCCTCGTCTCCTTGTGCGGGCTGTGACGCGGCTTCCAGGGCAACCTGTCCGTTAAACATGCCCACGTCCAGACCTGGGACCATGAGCATAACGACTTGCTGGATGTTTGCACGGCTTCGCACAGAAACCCATTGAGGCGCCGTTCCGTCAGCAAGCAGATAAAGTACCAACGCCTGCAGGTCTGTGATCTTGACATGCGAGTTGAGGCGTGCATGGTGTGAGTGCTCAATGGCCGGGTAGCTCCTCTGCAGCTTTCGTTCCTTCCTGCGCTCCTCCTTGGACAGACCGTCATCCTTGTGCGCGACCGAGGCATCTTGGGTGGGAGAGGGTGAGCGTGATGCAGAGTCACGTGAATTGTGCTGCTTTCTTCTCTTGCCGACGACTGTCCAGCCTTCGGTAGCTTCGTCTGGCTCATCTTCGCCGCGCATGTGTGCCAAAGTCGCGCCCAGCCCGACGTCGACTGGACGCCGGTCGTCGAAAGCACTGCGTTTTCTTTTGGCCATGTTGCCACTTGTCCGGTTTGGCGAGGCGAGATTGGGCCGCTGCAATTGTGTGCAAGAGTCGTGTTGCGCGATGTTCACAAAATGTTTGCCCGTCGACCGCACTGACGTGACGCTAGTAGCAGGCGGTCCTTCCGCCCTCTGGACCGCACTTGACTTTCATCTTTGCATCTTGCCATTGCTCCTACACACACATTCCACAAAGTGATCAGACGCGTTCCTCTGGCCGGCGCGATTCTATATGCTTCAATCAAAGTCATTTAGTTCGAAAATTAGGAATTTTTTTCACGCTGGGGAACGGCCCCTTGATGCAAATCAGCAAACACCCAGCCGGCTCTAGGAGGACCTCCCATGGTATCCTTGTTGTGGTTCCCGTTCCCTCGACCATCCAAGCATGAAATCTACTGCTCTTTTGTTTCCCTAGGGCATGGAATTGAAATACTATTAATAGTTATAAGAGTCCTGGGCTGGATGTTTTCAATATTTGCGGCTACTGATTGCCAGGGGCCCTTTGTCGACTTAGCGCAGTGGTCCCGATACGAAGTAAGTAAGACCCGCATGGCCACCTTGCTCAAGTTTCGGAACCGATTGTATTGTGGATCTTTCCGGAGCGCAATCTATCCAAATTCGCAATAGTCACCTACTACTCGGCCCGGACGTGGTAGCCACATGGCTCTGACTCTCTCCACACTATCCCGTTGATTTTCGCATAGTAACAGACTTTACCGGGCAGGGAAACGGCAAGGCCTCGAAGGTTTGACACTTCATCGCTTGCCAGGCCCAGATTTCATGAGTCTAGCTTCTCATTTACCGCAATGCAAAAGGTCATGGGCTTATTCATCCACT